CGCCTTGGCCTTCCTGACTGCCCCCCCTGCATCCCCGAACCACAGTCCTCCCCGGTGAAGGCCCCTCCCTGTCATTGGGTTCCCGGATGCTTTTGGTGAGACATGGGGGCTTTTGCACCCTCTTGCCCCCATGTGCATTAAAATAGGCTAATGCATATTTTCCTAGTACCTCATAAGGAAGGTACGAGATTTAATGTCCATTAATTAAAGTGCATTAATGCATATGTAGATATACCCGGTGTGTCTCAAGAACATCCTACATGTGTCTGTCAGCTTAAGAGTGGGTCAACACTAGAAAAATGAGTGTGTTTATCACAGCAATCCAAAAAAATGGTGTTGCTATACTTGACAGGATTTATGCTGTTCTACCAGGTTTTCATGACCTCCATGTACAAATGAAGCTCGGTTCCTATCAACACCAGCATGGTTGCACCATTATTTAGTGCAGTGATGCAGACAGTAATTTTTAGTTTGGACAAGGCCTGCCAAGGGGAGAGAAAATAATTCAGCTTCTATATTTATCCAGAAAACAAGGGTTATTGTTTGTCCAGTGGCCAACTCTCCAGTGGGAACAAGAACAAGAAAAAGCAGTTTCACGTAGGACTCTAAAGAGCTACTTGATCATAATAACTTTTAATCACAACCAACCTGGGCAGGTTTCAAACACAGGTCAGTTATATCTATCCTGGAGCACAGAGAAGGACTGCAATGTAGTAGAAGGGTACAGGTTGTACCCATGGTGGTCTAAGGACACAGGCAGACAAAGTTCTTTGGATAAATCTGATATCTTTTCCAAAAGCTTGCAAAGAAGAATTTTTTCCAACTATTTGAGTCGGTCTAATAAAAGATATCAGATTTATCCAAAAAACCTTGTCTGCAGTGTAGTAGAGAGCCCCAAGTTAGCTTTAAACTAGCTAGTACTGCCCGCAGTTTAATTGTGGTGGTATGGAGTTCAACATGGGATAGATGCATCTGTGACTGCAGTGTAGGTATACCCGCAGAGGCAAGAGACTTAACTACCCATTACTATTCCACTAAGACAACTTATGAAACATGCATGCTCTAATCGCTCAGATTAATTTCCACTGATTAATTATTAAAAGAAACGAGAGGGGTCTAAGATACTAATATTACTATTGGTTTGAATGTTTTATTTACACGGGACACTCTGTACAAGACAAAATTAAATATACCGTTCAAGGCTGTGTTTCCCACAAAGGTGGCATATTACATATGACACCTTATAATAACAAACTCTCTGTTCAGCTCTGCATCTGAATATACAATGTGTCATGTCTGTTGTCGATTAGTTTGGGTTGGTTTGTTTTCAGCAGAAGGCATATTTATAACATTACAGAAGGCACGCGAGTAAAATCGAGCCATGCACATGCTATAATTTGGGAACGTTATGGATTGTTTAATGTAGTTCGGCAGAGCTGCCACTTTGTTTACGTTCAGGAAGTCACATTTGTTGGACAATGGAAAGAAATGGAAAACAATGAAAAGGGAAAAAGTAGGGGTTGTGTTTTGTGTTGTTGTTTTTTTTAATGCAGGCAAGCTGCTGTGACAGGATGTGATTCTGCATATATTTGGAAGGGTTTCTGCGTTACCGCAGATGTATAAAGCAAACAGAGCCGGGTGGTTTCTATGCTTGTCCAATCCAGAAAAGGGATCTATGTGCAACAGTATGGGCAGAATTCAATTTTACTTAATGAAGAGCCAAAGCTCAGGAGTGATTCTTTTACCCCCTCTGGGTGTGAAAGTGCCCCTGTTATAGGAACAGGAAGATGCCCATCTTTGCAGTCGGGGGGGAGTAAAAAAATCATTCCAATGCTTTAGTCAAGTAACTCAACGTTAGTCAAGACCTGCACTTTGGCTTGTGTCTTAACTGGCACAGGAACACTCAGGTGGGTTCATGCCAATGATAGCACGTTATGCGATCAGTGATAGTGGTGATATGCTGATGCTTCACAAGGAAGAACGAAATAGGAGTAAGTGTCCCTGTGTCCCAGCAGCCTGCGTTCCCTTCGTGAAGGGGAGTGCCCAGGGGTGGACCCAGGATTTCCCAAAGCGGGGTGCGGGATCAGCAACCTGCGCTGCAGCAGTGGCTGCAAGCCCTGCTCCCAGCCTCCTCCACCCCCACCAGTGCAGCCAGGCGTTTTGAAGTCCGTAAGGCAAATGAAAATCCCCTCTCCATTCCCCTTCCTGCTCAGAGACATAGCCCCCTCTGTTCCCCTTCTCACCCTCCAACTCCGGTGCCTGCCACTGCTACTTTCTCCACCCCTGGGGGCTGGGGAAGCTCCAAACCCAGCTGGGCTGAGCAGGGGCTGGACTCAGCTGGGGAGGAGACAGTGGCAAGAGCGTGGCGGGAGATTACCCAGATCAGGTATGAGGAAGGGGAACTCTCATCCATCCTTGCTGCCGTTGTCCTTATCCCTAGCAGAACCCAGCCCCGAGCGGTGGGCAGGAACAACACTGATGTCCCCCCTACCCCCATGCAGCAGGGCAAGTTGGGGGAGGAAAGGGGCAGAGGCAGGGCATGCCTTTGAGCAGGAGGGGGAAGAGAAGGAGGATTTTCACATGCTTTAGAGATTTCTAAGTCCTTGGAGACTCCTATGATGCAGTACAATCCAAAAAGGGGAGAGCGGTGTGCAGCCAAACCACTGCACCCTCTCTGGATCCACCCCTGGAAGCGGCAACCTTTTTCAGGAGCCATTCCTCTAACGTATGAAAGACAGTTATCACTGAGTTAGAACCCTTCATTCCCCAAGGGCCAGACGATGGCTCTTAGGTGAGCCCTGAATAGGGTGGAAGTATATCAGCAGCCTTCAGTTCCTCTGGGCTCCCCGCACAGACAGAGAGAACCGGGCAGTAGGAAGTACCAGTTCATTAATACATGTAGCGGTCTTGTGGAAACGTATTAAGCACATTTGTTTCTCAACGTCTGCTGATGGAAACTTGGGTTGTATCCAGCTAGCTAGATTTCAGGTAAACAGGGAACTTTTTAACGCAAACCACATGTGGATATAATTACAGATAATGGTATACTTGGATGAAGGGGTTTCGGCTCAGCAGGAAAAGAAAAAGAAGTTTTCACAGAAATGGACACAAACACCCAATGAGGAAGGCACTTCAACTGTCTTCTCAGCTTGGTTTGGAGAAATACACAGAGGCTCGAAGGCTTAGCTCGGCTCCCCCTTTCCAAACCTCATCTCTTCTTACACCTCCCAAATCTAACCAAAACAGTCCTCCTTCCCTTAGTCCTAGCCTTGCTCTTCCCTAGCCTGCAGCAATTGTCTCTTATGGCCTGACAAGCATCTAAATGTCCCTGCCACTAAACCATTTTGTGCTCTCCGTCAGGCGCTCTCCCTGTGTTGATGTGCTCCTGCGGTGCGGGGTTCTCAGGACTGACGCTGTATATAAGGGTGTATATACCAGCTGTATCTCTAAGTCTCACAGGTATCTGGCTTTACCAAATTAGGAGAGCCATAAAGCTATATTCTTTTGTTGTATTATTCTTTGTTATATCTGGTCCCTGTTACACTTCTGCAGTGCCAGAAGTGAAAAAAAACCACCTCCCCTCCTAAAACACCCCCCTCACAAACATTATTTATCACCTGCTACCACCCTATGAGGTAGGTGTAATTATCACCATTTTTGTAGATAAATGAGGCACAGAGAGATTAAGGGACTCGCCAAAGCCTGTAAAATACATCTGTGGCAGAGCAAGAGCTAGACTCAGCCCACTCCCTGTTCCTCCTTGCTTTAAGAAAAGTTTTTGATTTCACAAGTCTGGATCTGGACTTGCTGATCTTCGAACAGCCAAGACACGAGGCACTTTCTGCGAACAGAAAAGGCTTCTCTTCTTGGGAACTGGAAGCATTAAGAGAGAAGGGTGTGTGTCCAAAGACTTTTAAAATCAAAACTAATTTCTCTTCTGGTTCACGTAAAGGTTGGCTCATCTGTGATAACTAGTGATAGAGTCTGAAGGCTCATGCATATGTCTGCGTACTTAGAGAGTCTGCTACAGCTGGTCCAGAGAGAATTAAATTTGACTCTGAAAAATAAATCTGAAAGAAAAAACTAAATATTTCATGTGGATGAAAGGAGGCAGTATGCAGACTGGATATTGGGAAGGCAACATTTTGCAGATACAAAATCATGTTACAATGTCCTTTTTGATATTTGCTCCCAAAGAGATAATGATAAATTTGATAATGAAAACCACTTTCCTGTTGCCAAATACCAGTGTTACTTTGATCTGCTCAAATCATCCTTTGACCAGTCTGATCCAGTTCTGCAAGTTTTAGCTATAAATATGTCTCTCCAAGAGGTTCCTCTTGAAATCTTAGCTGCAGTTTTGATAGCCTCTGGCTAGATCTCCAGAATATAATGTTTAAGCATGTGCATTTTATCTGTAAGAAATATTGCCTACCACAGATGTGTCTCTCTTAAAAGCCAGATACTATAGTTCCTTTGTTTTCTTACAACTGTAAAGGTGCATCGCTGTCCTCTATTAGTATATTTAGAAGTGTAAGTATACTGCCACAGGTTATTCCCATATCGGAAAGAAAATAAATTAGATCACTGTAGATCACCTTCATATTATCAGGACTGCACCCAAACTAGGAGTTATATCGGTATAATTATATTGGTTAACAAAAGTCACACCCCTTACTGACACTTATACCAGTAAGAAATCTTTGTGTGGACTGTCTTACTACCCCCTCCCTATACTATTGATGATATATGCACTGGAACCCGTGATCAATGAAAATGAGCGTGAGACATTAATATATCCCTTAAGCAGGACTTCACTTTTATGGCTTGGCTTTCTGGGTTAAGGACAGTGGGGGAGAGGAAGGGCAAAGGCAATATCCAAAAAAAAAAAAAAAA